AGGTGGGTAAAAAGTATCTCCTAATAGTTCTGAGACAATTAAATGGGAAGTCTAAAGAAAACCGCTAGCATTGCAGAAGGCAGTCCAAGACACTTCCTTCTCCTTTTCTCCACTAGAGCCGTGGCCTGCTTAATTGCCTGCTCCTGTGGCCCTCTACCACTGTCAGGGGCAACAACTGCCCCCAACTCTGGGATCAGTCTCAATCTGGGCAAGGAAACTATCAAGTCTTTAAAGGTAGAGGTTAACTGGCTTAACACGGAATGAGTCTTATATTTGGGTACCAGACATCTATGGTTGGACCATCTCAACCAAGTTCAAATTCATTTTGTGTCAACTTCTAGACCAGTGATTTTCAACCCGTGTGCCACAAGAATGTTTAACACATGCAATACTTGACTTTTCCCTTAGATTGTCAAATTAAAAAATGACAACAACCAATGCAACAATAGCTGTTCAGTGTGAATGAATAAAAAGAATACCTATTATTTTTTGTCATATCAGCAAAAAAAGTATTTTTTTTGTGTGCTGCAGAATTTTAGTAATTAGCTTATGTGTGCCATGAAGTTAAAAAGATTGAAAATTGCTGGTCTAGACTATCGTGATTAATACTTTAAATCCTCAGTTCTGTTACAACTTAGCTACTCACACTCTTTGGCTTTTGCCCATCTAGGCTTATTTTTAGTCTGTCTTATGATTTTATATCCCCAAGGATAACAGGGTTTTGCTCCACCATTTATGTCTTTGGTGTTCATCCAGCTGCTATATCTACACTCTCACTCCTGGCTTTCCCTGGTCAAACTGATGCTCCATGAAGAAGATATGTAGAGCTAGAAGTTACTTTAGAAGTTTTTCCCAAATTTTAGTCATTAATATACCACCTTTACTTTTTTTTTTAAGAGAGAGAGTGGAAGGGAGAAAGATATCGATGTGAGAGAGTCACATTGATTATTTGCCTCCTGAATGTGCACCAATCAGAGCAAGGGATCCAACCTGCAACCCAAGCATTTGCCCTTGACAGGGAATCAAACCTGTGACACTTTAGTGCACAGGCCATGCTCTTACTGCTGAGCAACACTGGCCAGGGATACATTGAGTAAGTTTTTAAACCTAGATACCTACTTTAGCCTCATTCTTAGGAATGGTATATGTAAAATCACAGAATTGATGGGATAGTTATCTTTTTCTAATACACATTTAATATAAATTCAAAACCAATTAATTTAAGAAGTTTTGCTATATACCTAAAGTCCTCTCATGTACAAATAGCAGGCTTGGGGAAATAGTAATCTGGTCTAACTCTTCATTTTACAGATTAAGAAACAGCTTCAGAGAGGTTTGGTTTGTCATAAGGCTAGCTATATGAATTCTTGGGCTTGAAACCTGTCTCTTAGCTCCTGGTCTAGTGCATTTTTTCATTATGCCTAGGGTTAATATAGAGTTCTGTGCACTATCATTTACATATATTAAATAATTAAATCACAGTACTTAACATGCATGACAATGCAGTGTCAAGGATCCTGATCCAGGACTTTAACATGAAAGAAAGAGGTTGCTTGACTGACAAATTGTATAAATGTTGGTTACCTCTGGTACTTGAGTAGAGCAACATTACCATCTTAGAGTCATGGAAGAGAAAACAACAATTAATTATGGAACCACCCATAAGAAGTGGCATCACCAGCTGATACAGAATTTGTAAGAGACTTGTTTGCTTTATTGGGATGCCCACTTCTGGACTGACCAGATAACATCTCTGGCCCGTGCTCCTGATACAATCTTTTGTTTCTTCCAGGGATTTCAACAATTTATAACTTTCTACAGCTTGTTGTACACTATGAAATGTACACTTTGACATGTGAAACCCTTTGTTGAAGCATTCATGCACTATCCAAGTCTTTCCACTTTAGGATTGCTACCAGGGAAGGTCCATGTAAAAGCACATAGAAATCTTTGCCAGATCCATTGAGCTCATTAGCAAAGGGGACACTTGAGGCAATGCTGAAAGTGATTCCAGAAAGCTAAGGTAAACAGCGTGACTGTTTTTTACTTTGCATTTGTAGAAGAAGGCAGTAGTGCTGTACTGTTGTAACACGAAGACTCATATTAGAATTTATTCCCTTCTCTAGCTTTCATTCAGCTGGCTCATCTTGAAAGGCCAGATGGCTCTCTTGAAAGGAAATATCTTCTTAGTTCCACTTACCCTTTTTTGACCATCTAAATGACTTTTAAACAGTTTGGTTTGCTGTGTGAGTATGTGTATATATGTCTATGGTGGAGAGGTTTGGTGTATTTTTAATTTTCTTAAAAAAATCTGGAAACCATGGTAGGGATAATCTGTCTCATCAGAGATTAGCAAACATTCACATCCCTATTGTCTATAAGCAATGTGAGAGTATAGGAGTTGTGAAAACACTAGGCTGTGTTCAAATGAACCGAAGTTCACTAGAGGAAGAGAAAGGATGGCAACTGAAAGCATGGTGATGAGTTCATCTTTTCATTATTCAGGTTGACATGACACTATATATTATATTATTTCTCAAGAAACAGACTTTGCTTGTTGTAGTAGGAATCCTCCCAAGGTTTCATAATTCTCAGTTCTGTCTTAGGCATTCAGTTTACCATTATTTTCCCCAATTTGTCCTAATGATTCTCTCTGGCAGTTCTATCACTACACAAGCTTACATTTCTATCACATCTGGGTCTCAAAGTTGAAATCAGAGCTCACCTGAAGGATTGTCAGTAGGATCAGGGAGGCCTAGTTAGAATTATAGAATGGGAAAAGTCCTTATGAACCACCTGGTCATCTTAGGCCAACTGAGACAGCCTGACTCAGATTGCCCTTTAAGACAGAACCTGCCTCAAGGAGTTGAGTTAGATGACAGACTCAGGTGCCTTCAGGCTCTGCCTCAGCTATCAAGTGGGAGGTGTGTGCTTTCTGGGCAGCTGCCAGCCAATGGCTGAGCAAAGTGGGGGGTACAATGGCTTGCCATTTGGGATCAGCAGGGGGTTCCTCTATTCACAAGAGCTCCCAGTTGTGCTGGCCAATACTTTCTCAGACCTTTACCACAGTCTGAGACACTTCTTATGAAAATTCCTTCCTTTCCCCCTCCTTTGCTGATATCAGACCTGTATTATGGTCTGAAGCTTTCCCTGCCTACTTGTGTCCCTATCCCCCCCTACAGGTATTACTCTCAATAAATGTTTTGCACTTCTAATTATATCTTAGCATCTCTTTCCAAAGGACCCAACCGATATACCAATAACTCCCCACTCCCATCTGAGTTCTACAGTAAGGAGTCTGAGGTCCACAGAGGTGAAGTGACTTACCCAAGAACCAATAGCTAGCTAGTAGCAAAGTCAGTATAACAACTCAAACTTTCTGACTCCCAATTCAATGTTTTCCCAAAGTTCAGTGGTTCAAGTACCACCACAATCATGTATGAAACCTCCCATAGATTTTGTTATCTGTTTATCCCCCATGTTATTATTTGTGTGACATATTATTTCACTTATTAAGTTTCTACTTTAGCCTTCTTTGAAGTAATAATATCCATAAAATTTGGATTTTGATGTGCTAGTTTTATATTTTTCTAATACATATTAAATAAATACAATACCACTATAATAAAGTTTGTGTGTATACTACCTAAAGTCATATGATTTACTGTCAGTGATAGGTGAACCCTAGGACTTAGAAGACAGAGGAGAAGGAAAAGGTAGGCAGAGGGAGGAAGTAAGAAAGGAAGAAAGAAAAGCGAAATACTTATTGGTGAGGAAGAAATGGTAAAAACCCATCAATAACTGCCTCAGGTGCCTTGCTGTGACCCTCGTGTTTCCTACCAAACCCTGGTTTAATCTCCAATTAGTCAATAAACATCCTTTACTTATTGTTTGTCTAAAAAACAAATGGAATGCATTCAGATGTAAATTAGAAATCAAGATTTATCCTCCTAAAGAGTCAATTCATTTATCCCCAAAATGGACTGAAATGGTCCACTTTGAACAATTTATTGGAGAAGACGCATACTCCTTTTAAAAGCAATAGCTCTAATCTTCATTTTATAAAGTGTTTGAGTGCATACACTTCCTAAGAAAAATATTTAAGTAGCATTTCCTTTCTCATTTAAAAATATTTATTATTAAAACAAAATAAGATTTTTCTCTGATTTAAGAAATATAAGAATATAATTACAATAATCTTCACCTTTATTGTCATTCTTTTGGTTCAAGAGCTCTGTAATGATTATAATTTTATTGTGCTAATGAAACAAAATTGGGGTTATGTTATAATTTAGTAGATTCCTAGTATCATAGTGATAGTTTAATGTTCCTCTTTTGTTCCATGGAAATAGTATTATACAGAACCTCTGTCAAACAGATATTACTGATTTAGAAGCTATTTTGTTAATTCCTAAACCAACTGTCCTTTTAGAGAAAGGAGAGCTAGAACCTAACCTAGAATGTCACAGATTTTAAAGTCATGGGAAGATTGAAGGTAAAGATTCAAGTTGTGTTTTATTATAAGTAGAAAGATTGCTGTACACTTAATGTTCTATGTTTAAACCTATTTTTAGCATCTGGTTTGAAAATATTTGGTAGTAGTCTACTTCTGAAAAGACAAATCCATTACCGATGTGCATGGACACTTGGGTTAATTGGGGAAAGAGTTTCCTGTGTTCCCGTCCCTTGTTTTACATTTCAAACCTGTGTAGAATGATTTACATTTCAAATTAAAATGGAATCTAAGAATAACCAGTGAAGAATTATATAAAATTATTATTTTTTAAATAAGGAGAGAATATAAGCTTGCAGCTAAAACAGAGACAGCATAATTAAAAATAAGGCTATTACATTCAGGTTTTGGTGTTTACTGACTCATTTCTCCAAATGTCTAGAGAATAAATTAGGTACTTCATGTATTTCTTTTTTGGACCATTACGAATGACACAAACTAAAGATAATATATTGCACTGGGAAACTTAAATTCTGCTTGTTCTTACCAGGTTAGCAAGCATGTAGTGATAACCTCTTGAATGTTTCCCCAGGATCACAACCTGCAGAAACAATAAAGAATATTGTTTATCCAAGAAAGACATTTCCAATTGCACAATCAATGGGATGGCTAGAACAAATTAATTTTAAATGATCAGCAAAGTGTTAGGTTTTCATACAGTATAGTCACAGTTAATTGGACCAGATTTCACTTTCAGGCAGAGAATACAGGAAGAATTGCTAATATCAAAGTTAAAAATGTCAACAACAAGGGAAAAAAGCTCTTTAAATTTCCAGGTCAGTAGCATCATTGTCACTTAAAATAGATGACAAAAGCAATGAAGCTGATGATCCCCTACCCATGAACTGGATTTCTGTATTTAGCTGTTGAGATGGCAAATGGGCTGAACTTTGCATACAAATGAGAAAATAGAATGTACAGTACATTTTTTTGTTATCTGGAATACTTAGGGAATAGAACAGTCAAGAATGGGGTTAATGGGATTTTCAGGTTAATCGAGGTCACTTTTGCTTATTGAAAACACTTTCTTTTTTCCTGTTTTAATACCAAAAGCTTGTGGCCATCTGTACATCTTTTGGTGATGAATGCAATGCCTTAGGACAATGGGGAAAGGAATTTCCCCTAGGGGACATTTGGCAATGCCTAGAGACATTTTTAGTTGTCACATTTGGGAGGGGTGATAGCATCTAGTAAATAGAGACAACGAATGTTTCTGAACATTCTACAATGCACAGGACACCCCCCCCCCCCCAAAAAAAAAGAATTTATCTAGCAAAAAATCTCAGTAGGGTTGAGGTTGAGAAACTGCCTTAAGGTCATCATTGTTATCATAATACTTTCATGAGTAACACTGTATTAATAATAGCCTTACAATTTAACAAGTGCGTTTTTATTTTCTCAAAATATGTAAGTGGATTGAATATTTTCCAACCAAATGTATTGGTTGGCAGTTGGAAGTTTTGACTAAATACCTGACATAAACTTATTTCCAGATAGCTGAGTAGAGCAAAAATTCTGGTTAATTGAGGATTTTATAAAATGTCATTTTATTCAGTACTAACTATGTGCAAAATACTTTGCTGAGTGCACGGAGTGGGAATGAGGAGGGGGGGTAACATCGAGGTTAAAGACACAACTAGAGGTGGAACCAGGTTTTATACCAGTGGTTCTCAACCTTGGCTGCACATTAGAATCACCCGGGAATCTTTTTAAAATCCTGATTTCTGGGCCTCATCCTCCGGAAATTCTGTTTCTTTGTTACTAATGTTGTGGCCCCACCCCATAACAAAAAAACAATTTCCGGAGGATGAGGCCCAGGAATCAGGATTTTAAAAAGATTCCCAGGTGTTTCTAATATGCAGCCAAGGTTGAGAACCACTGTTTTATACAGACCTGATGTTAATACCTCTTTAAGAAAAATAATACAAAATTACAAATACAATATCTCAATAAGGCCTTGGAAAGAACCCATCCAAGTAAAAGGCCATTAAGCTTAAGCTTCACAATAAATTCTATGGTAGACACAGCTATCAAAGGGTTTAAAAACAATTTGTGAAGACAATTAATTGCACACATACCAAACCAGAACTATATTTAAAGGTCATTATATTAATAATAAAAACTGCCCTTAATTGAGTATCTAATATATGCCAGGCACTGTGCTAGGTGCTTTATGTGTATTTAATCCTTAGAACAATTTAACAGATTAAGTATCATTAGTTTCATTTTACAGATGAGGAATCTCAACTAAAGAGAGTTTATGACTGTGATTTGCCCGAGGCCACACAACTAGGAAGTAGTAAAGCTGGAATTGGAATCTGGGTCTGTCTGCCTCTAGAACCCATATTTCTGACAGTACATTACCTGGTTTCTTAATATGTGCTAAGTGTCAAATACTAATAACTGCTCTAGGTTCTGAGAGAAGGGGTGTCTGAGACCTGCTGGGATGGATAGGGAAGGCTTTTTCTGGAGGAGATGAGTTTTAAACTGGCCCAGAAGTGTAATCATATATATATATATATATATATATATATATATATATATATATATATATATATATATATATATATAGAGAGAGAGAGAGAGAGAGAGAGAGAGAGAGGTTACGTGAGTAAAGGTTCTGTTTTTGATTAACTTAAAATATGAGCCACATTTCTGACTGATTATTTATGGAGGAAATAAAAGGTTAATGAATGTCTTGAGGAGGTGATTTTTCATGCTGCCATGAAACAAAATGAGCTGTTATGTATCTTCTGGGATGTATTTTTCAGTGTCCGCTTGTGAGAAACATCCTTACTGTTGACATTTGTTAACTTTTGATGGCAAGTTGGGACTATACATTTGTTGAATTTTTAATTCACTGACAACCCTCAATATAATAAAATCAGAGGGTTTTGAGTTCTTCCAGAAAAATGAGCTGATTTGTAAAGACATCTGGCAGAGCCTAGAAAAATATAAACAAGCAAGCCCAAAGGAAACAGAGCAAGTCTTTCTCACCAATGGCAGGGCTTAGTTACCTTTTGGACATGGGAAAGGTGAAAGAAAGTCATGGGAAACCTTAGTGTTGTGAGAAGAGCCCTGAATGAGAACCTAGGAACCCAACCTACTGTATGACTGTGGGCAATTCATTCACCTTTCTCCATCTTCCATTTCCTTATCTGTAGTCTGGGACAATGAGCTTGGCCCTTCTTATCTCAACAGTGTTGTTAAGATTAAAGTGAATAACATCCAGAAAAGTATTTGGAATGTGAATTGTGTAATTATGTGATGTTAAATAACTGTGGGAAGGGGTCATTCACTAAGATTTTTTTTTTAGGTTCAAAAAAAGAAGCCATTGGAATATCTGCTTTAGTCCATGCCTAGATGGTCTGTTTAGAACAAACTCACTTATTTGAAGGTAGCTCTCTCACAACATCACCCCTTCAAAACTTAGTTTCAACCGGAAGAGATGGGAAAGTTATCTTAAGATAGAAACCTTTAGGTATTACAAAGCTGCTGCCTTGAAGGCTGTAATTATTTCCTCATCCTTATTTTCAGTGCCTTCTTAACTCTTATTTAACACACAGTTCTTACCAATCCTGCTTTTTTCAGTTCACAGTAAAAGAAAAGCTGCAAATTAGAAGGGTTGTGCATGGAGGGAGGGGGGATATTAGAAAGATACATTAGCAGCAGAGGAAGTGACAGACTGACTTAAAGGAGAAGGAGGGGATTTTTAAAAAAACAGACAATATTGTACTACTGCACAGTATAATCAGGGATGTTTGCTGTGAATGCCTGAGCCATCAGGGTATAGATTACTACATTCAGTAATTTCTGCTGGAAAAACCCAGGGATATGGATCATATGTTTTAGGGAAGTTTTCCATAAAAAATGCTCAAATGCCTTAATACTTAAGATACTATACTTCAATTATCTTGGAGCAGCCATGATCCTACTGATATGAACTAAGCAAAGCCTCACTGCAAACAGTGTCATGTTTTACTCTTGGTCTTGCCCTTTTATGAATTATTGGCATAGAGCTTGTGGGAGTAAGGATGGGATAGATGGGTTGTGCATTATATGGTGCACAAAAGAAAGTGTTTTTTTTTCAGTTAGTCTTAATCTTTATTTTTTTCCATCTGTTATAGATAAACAAAGCATAAATTTACCTTCAGTTATTTAATGACTTGGGTAACCAAGATAATGTTCAACTTTGCTTTTATAGTAATTATAATAGCTTTTTCTGAATTAGTTTCAGAACTTCAAGTTTACTGTGAAATTTAAGAAGGAAATACCAAGTTCCCCGATCCATATACTGTATTCACTGTACCTTTGTAAGGTTTGTTGGAGATGATGGATGGCTTGATATGATGGCAGATATGATAAATGTAATAAGGGGAAATGTGTGAAATGTAGATAAAATTCATTGTTTTAAAGAAATGTATTTTTATCTTCACAAATAGGACCTGAAAGAAAAAAAATGCCACAAAACTCATTCACTGAAACTTAAACAACAATTTCCTTTGCAGAAGAAAAAAGCTCTTGCTACTAACACACTGAGTTGTGCATATAGGAGAACATTAAATTATTTTGGTTTTTTTTTCTCCCACTTTACAGCTTTATTGGGCTATAGTTTAAATAGCATAAAAAGGTTAGATGTACAATTCATGATTTTTAGCAAATTTTCAGTCATACAGAAGTCACCACAATCCAGTTTTAGAACATTTTCATCACCCTCTCCCCCAAGCTTCCCTCAATCCTGTTTTCTTAAGGTGGAAACTGAGCTTATTGTTATGAAACTTTTACTTTTTTTCTAATAAGGGGTGTTTCAAAGTGTACATTTCCCTATAAACACTTCTTTAGCTGCATCTCATAAATTTTTATATGCTTTACTTTCATTTTCATTCAGTCCAAAATATTTAAAAATTTCCCTGCAATTTCTTCTTTGACCATGGATTATTATTTTTTTTAAATCTGCTGTTTCACCTGGCCAGTGTGGCTCAGTGATTGAGCATCGACCCATGAACCAAGAGGTCACTGGTTCGATTTCTGGTCAGGGAACATGCCCGGATTGTGGGCTTGTTCCCTAGTAGGAGGTATTTCTATCTCTCTATTCCTCACAATTCCTCTCTCTCGAAAGATCAATAAAAATATGCAAGGAGATGGAGAAACCAAGATGGTGGCATAGGCAAACACCGGAGATTGCTGCCTTGCACAACCACTTCAAAAATACAACTAAAAGACGGAATGGACATCACCCAGAACCACAGGAAAGCTGGCTGAGGGGAAATTGTACAACTAGAAGGAAAGAGAAAAGCATACCGAGACTCAGAGGAGGTGTGGTGCGGAAGTAAAATACAAAGGTGCGGAGGTGTATGCGGAGTGGGCTGGTGGCTGAGGGCGCGGCTGTCTGTTTCAATCGGGAGGGAGTCTCAGGTTCTGAGCTCCAGTTCTGGGCAAGTCTCTGGGGACCCAGACTCAAACGGGAGAAGCGGGACTGTCTGGCATCGGTCAGAACTTGAGCGCAGCTTTCTCTCCGAGGTTTGCAGCGGTTGCTGGGAC